TGACTTCAATTTTGATTATTTTCGGCAAGAGAGTCCTCTCCAAACTAATGCCAGTTATTTTGTTACTTCCCTGAACATTGACAACATTGACAATGAATATCTCAACGTGTCCTTCGGTGTTTCGGCAAAAAACATACTAGTAGTTACTATGAATAGTTTGTGAATTGGTCGATTGTGTGTCAGAAATATAAAATGGACAAGTTGACAGTCACATTCACGCTCTCAGTGCATTTCTTTCGTCTATCATTCTTCCATTCTCAATTACACAGGACATCAGGCAAGTTATGGGGATAATCTTTATTTGTCTCACACCTTCTGTGGGGCAATAAACAATGCAGGTGGAAGTGAGGCACGATAAGCTCGGCGTCTGCCTGATTGTAAACAACCGGGTGGCTGGCACTTATTTCTGGGTTCTTATTGACAAAATCACTCAACTCTTGGTGGCTCTTAATGGAGGGTCAAATGTAACAAATTTTCACTGAGTGGCTCTTAATTGAGGGTGGCGCTTATTTGCGGGTTTTTACAGTAATCATCATATATCAATGAATGTTTATACATGGATGCTGTAGGACAATAGACAGACCTGGATAATTGTGGGTTAAAATCTGTACATATTAATTACCCAATTTGCATAATTAACCAATTTTAAGCTTTCACACTGATATCTAAAGTACTAATTTCCATTTTAATGAAACTTAGTACAAAGATGCTCTAGGACAATGTACAAACCTAATTAGTTTGGGGTAAAACTCTGTTCATATTATTTCCCCAATTAGCATAATAAATCATAATATTTTTGGTTCTAATCACATTTCAATTAAACTTGGTACATAGAGTTTTTGTTACATTGCGTAGACCTCATTAGTTTTACAATCAAATCTGTTCATGTTAATTTTCTGATTTGCATAATTAGTTTTCAGCTAAGTAATTTCAAATTATATTTAATGTGTCTCCAATACTCTCAGCACATGGGAGTTCTTTCTAAGCTTTCTTTGATTCAGATTGGATTCAAAATGGCTGACTGGTGGCCATTTTGTTTTAATGATTTGGCTTCTAGAGCCATATTTCTTAAATGCTTTGACTGATTATATTCAAATTTTATATATTCGTTATACATCATGTTATATATATATATATATATATATAAATGTCCTTATATAATATGTATATATATATATACATGTATTCAAAATGGCTGATTTTGAATGCTGTTCCAGAGCACCGTCCCTCAAGGGACGGTGTCCAGAGCAATATCTCTCAATATGGACAAGTACTTGTTTGACGATCAGATACAAATGTCAATCATTTTTTTATTTTTTTTTTAATTAATGTTAAAAAATCGTATTCCTGACATGGTTGTATTCTAGCTATATTACTATAAACAAAACTATATATCTTAAATTTGATAACTAATGGGGACTGTGCCATACATGGCTTGATTTACAAGGTTGAATACAAATTTGGAGTATATTTTTGAGTAAATATAGAGTGAAAAGAATATTAAGTGTTGCTGGTTTTAGTTCATTTAACCACTGTTGCTAAGGAGTCTAATATACTGTAATACAATTTATTTTCACTGACATTTAATTTCACTATTTTGATGTTGTAAGCAATTTTACCAGGTTTCACAATCATGAACATGGCAGGAAACAATGAGTCTATTGTTATTTTCCATATTTACAGATTTAATTTAGCCGATTTGATCTCTCAACAAATATAGCAAAATGAAAAAACAGTGAATAATTTATGTTAATTTACAGTACACTAATTCGCTCTATTAGTAGTGTTTGTCCAGTTAATCCTAATCTCACAGCAAATTTATTCACTAGATTAAAATACAATAGAAAAAATAGATTAACAGTGCAAAATGAACAATCGTATTCCATGATTCCCTGGTGCAAACTTAAATGCAGGCTTAAATGATAGATACTTAGTAATGCCTACGGTCATAATATATTTTTAATAGAGGAAATATGGTAATATGCATGTGTTATTATAATACATCAATGAAAAACATCGTTCTGTCAACTGGTCATTTGAAAGAGTGAGTTATGTCAAAGAATGCCGAATTATAGGCATGTAGTTAATCAATAATGTGATTGTATATCTTTCAGATCTTCCTCCAATCTTATCCCCAGTGGACATACCAGACGATACCATTGGTCAGAAATCGGCAAATTCACCTCATCATTCAGCAGTGTTCAATTTCTCACTGACGAATTGGAAAACAGAACTCAGAAATCAGTTCAGGTGTGGAACGAATTATTTTATGACGAGGACAAAATAGCATATGTTTGTTACATACCGTAATTAAAATCAGTAAACCAATATAAATCATTTCCAACTGTATCATTTACTGTATTTAGTCTATTAGCATCTGCACCAGCCAAGGACCATTTATTCAGCCAAAGCCTCAACATTAACCCTTGGCAGATTTCGCCACGATTTACTGTATGTCGCATGCCCTCAAACGATTTTAAGATTCATTTCGACTCATTTGCACCCAATCATAACTCACAATAGATATGACAAAATGGCGGGATACAGAAATAAGCGAGTGGCTCGCTTTTTTTTTCGTGAACAAGCTTACTCACTACCAAAAGAAAATGCTTAGTGTTGTATCGGAGGGAAATATGATGTGTCCAGATCGGGCAAGTCAATATGTTATCAGGGACTTATCGAACCAAACAAGACTGTTCTCATAATTTCTCCTCTGATAAGTATTACGAAAGAGCAAGTTGTGTATTTAAAGCGTGGTTCCACACCAGTGAGTCATGGGAAATGTAATTTGCATGGTCCGCCCAGTTGTTTACTTGGTACACAGCTGTTATCATTACGCTATTACCCGATTTGAAAGGACTTGAAAGCAATCGTGCTGTTCAATGTTCATGGGACCCAAGCAATCATGGAGCTCTATATTTAGTTCTGTGTTTGCACATCATCATAAATAATTCTGGTTTATGTTATGAATCACAACTATACCAATTAATTGTAATTTTTTTTTATCAATTTTCTGGGTAGATCTAAGGTCTCTGGGCATCAAGATACAGCAACACCACCAAGACCTCAAAGTCAATTTTATGATATTGATGAACTGGAAGATTTAGTAGTCTTGGAAGAAGAGAAGAATAAACTTAAAACGTAAGTAATTTCCCAATAAATCTGCTGCAAGCCTCCATGGATAGCTGAAAGGAATGGGAAAAAATGACGTCAGTGGGCAATGTGCTAATAGTAATATTGTAACCATGGAGACATGTAAGTGTTGACAACATGTAATTGTGGTATTCTATGGTGGCACATATATATATAATTGTTAATAATATGTAACCATGGCAACTAACAATGAGTTGACATCATTTCGCAAGGTTTAATTTATTGAAATTGAGTCAACTAATGGTAAAATGGACTGCAATAATATTGAAACTAAGAGCATATAAACAAGGGATGAAAACTGTACATGAATTTGATTTTCACATTCAAAAAATCATTTCTGCTTTTTTCTCTTTCAGACAAAGGGAAGGAATTGCGTCAACTATAAAAAAGTAGGTGGAGCAGTATAATGTACAATTTCACAATCTACATTTTTAGGAAATTCTTTTGAATATTTTGACAGTTTGCACCAATTAGGTTTCAGATCAGGAAAAATGTGTGAATGCTGGTCTTCTTTTCATGAGAATTGGATTTTTCGTTATAGTGATATAATTTGAATAAATTTGTATTTAGGCTGGTGGCAACTGAAAATGTTGAGAGATACATACATTTCTTTGAAAAATTCTGTTAAATCTACATTATATTAACACCCATCACTCAACCTTTTGAACACCCAAAGTTCAAAGTCAAAGTTCATAATACTTTCAACCAATCAAGAAAGTGTTTTCACCTTGCTCATTATGAATATATATATTCAGGATTGTTTTCTGAATTTTGCGTGTTAACCAAATTGAATCGATCTTTATCGCTTTAAGTAGTACCCATATATATATTTTGGAGTATTGCACGTTTCTGTGACATAATTAATAGTCTGAATTTAATAGTATGAATTGCAGAATTTCAAAATATTGCAACAGGCAGTAATTCAAAACAATCCATGTGCACTTGAACTCTATTCAAAAGCTTTGTAACAATTAAATGAAAAGTCAAAACAGATTCATTGAAAAATCTTGAAATTTGAATGTTTATTCTATATTATTCACAATTTGCATAATCCCAAAACCTCAACAAAGCTCTATGAATGCTCTCAGAGTGCAACTTTTAATATAAAGATACAATACGGAAATGGACATGTATATTATAATATCATTGTTTGATATTGTATGTTGAAAACTGCATTGGACTATGATTTATCACAAACTGAAAACACCGTTCATGTAGCAAACATTTGAGTATAAACATTTGAGTTGTTTTGGTTCATACAATCACATGTGTATTAGTGGTCTTGATTTTTTCATTTATCTGCTGCTATATGTCCTGCAAATACTGTTCAGGAACATTCATAGTCTGCTTTGATCTATCGAACAACAATATTGACAAATTTATTTTTCATCCATAGTGCATCTTAAAAGTGTTACATAATCTTGTTATTCATTATAGAAAATTGTCTTTGCCAAGACCATTGAATGACCCTGAACCATCACAGGTAAAATTTATTTATGTTTTGTCTCATTTTACATTCATTTATTCAAATGATACCATGGTACCATCAAACAATTCCTTTCATGCCTTTTTCTTGTTGCCATGCCAGCAATATGTAAAATTTTGTATAAATAATGCATTTAATCCATGAGTGTTGTAAGGTATACCATGTTAGGTCCAGGCAGTGTGACGACTGTTCTTTTCAAAGTTGTACAATAATGTCACATATCAGAATAATATGAGGTATAATATTACGAAAATACCTCAAAGTATGCACGAAGACAGTACAGGGGAGGTATTGACCAACAGAGCTGAGGTCGATGCACGGCGTACTGTCTGAGTGCATACTTTAAGGTATCTTCGTAATAACCTTATTATCATACATCTTTTCCTTCCAAGGATACACCTTGTAATGCCAAAATTCAAAACGTTTAGAACAGAATCACCGAACTTCTTTGTGTGGAGTCCAGTCAAACTCTGGTGGCAACCATGTTTGTTTTTATTATTAGAGGACGCTTACGTGCGTAATTATTCCATATTTGAAATTCACATTTTCTAATGTGGTAGGATGAAAATACCCTGTAAAATACTGCAAAATTATGGCACGCTGTAACTTACGGTGTTACGGTGACAGATGTATAATAATAATAATAATATATATATATATTCAAAAATTAATTTCCAAGGCTTGTTCTGTTAATTAGAAAATGAGGTCACTGATGAATAAAAAAGAATGGAGGTCCCAATAAAATGCTGTCACTGTAAAAATGTTGAAATTTTAGCCAATTTGACTCTGTGCATGAATTAGTGTCTGTTATCTTATTGTGAAAATATACTTTCAGTTAAATTAGTTGCATCTTGAATTAGCGAAATTACATATTAGCTAAAATAACTTGCTAAAATAAAAAAGAAATGTTTTACAGTAATTTACAATATAGCAATGAAATGAACTACATGTATTTTTGTAGCTTGAAGTTTGCAACCAATCAACCTGTCAAATTAGTATGTGAGTTTATATTTCTAGTGTTGAAACACATTGAATTTTTTCTCAACTCAACTAACTAAAATAAATAAACTTGTCCTTGTCTTCACTCAGATTCAATTGAGTTTACTGAGAGAAGAATTAGATGATGTTGAAACTGAGATGAAAGCATGTAAAGAAGTGATTACATTGTTACATAATCAGTTAGCAGCAACGCAGCTAGAAAAAGCATCATGGTAGGAACTATATGGATTTCATAAATATATATATCTCATGTGTTTATTGCAGTAATATTTGTATCATCATAACCCTCAATGCGCAAAATTTATTACATAATTATAATCATTGATAAACTCATAAAAATTATCAGTGTTAAACTACATTTTCTCTTCATAATGTCTTTCTGAGTTTTGTCTACTGCCACCACATGTGATGTTAAAGCGATCCCACTTTTTCGTTATTTGCTACTCATTATGAAATTGTAATTAATAAAGGCGCACAACTATTTAAGTTAATGTAAACTATATTTTCTTTTGACTGTGATCTGTCGAAGGTTTGCTTCTAAGATAAGGTAAACCACAGATACAGTAGAGAAATAATTCAACTGAATCTGTTTGTTTGTTTGTGATGCAGTGATGATTATCTCAAGTGCAAGTCGGATAAAGAGAGAGTTTCATTGCTACAAAGGAAAGACAAGCAGCTAATTCAACTACAGCAGATATTGGATGAATTCCGCAGTGAACGAGATAATTTACAAGAACAGATCAGGTAGTAACCATAGTAATCATGTTTAATTAGACAGTTTCTAGTTCTCTTGTTGCTAAGATACTCTCAGCATGTTATTAGTGTAAAGCAGTTGTTGATGGAGTTGATTGTCAAAAAATTGGCACAATTATAAAACATATGTTGAATAAATCTACCTTATCACTTTTCTATTTGAATTGTTTTCATGTTAAATTTCTAATTATTTTGATGTTAGATACTGTAAAACAGAAATTGTATCATTGAAAGAGCAATGTACAATGTATACTGATATGCTGCAAGCAAAAGATGAAATAATTGTCTCATTAACCAATCAGGTGAGTTCAATACATGATTAAAATTCTTCAAGCATAACCCTGAATCCATTATTACTTTTCTCATCTCTGATCCTTAATTGAATTCTGACCTAATTTCTGTGGTATAAGTCTGCCTTGCTTACAATCTGAATTTTAAACTTAGGACCTCAGTTATGAGTATAAATGTGCCCTAAAAATGCTTGTCTTGCTTGTGCTGTTTCTGTAGATTTTTGACCTTGATAAAAATGCAGGTGAAGAAGGTAGATCTAGTGGCCACATACCAATGAATAGCAGTACAAACACGGTTGTAAAAACTGTGGAAAATGCACAAGAACTTGAAAAATTGAAGGTAAGAAATAAATTAGAATTATTAAGTTATTTCTAAACAATGCTTATATGGACATCAATTCGATCACCCGCTTGGTTGACGCACTACTAGATCAGTTATGGTTGCAGTCTCGGCAAATTGTTTGAGTTTAGGCAAGAGTAATTTGGGCTTGAATCTCTGATGTGTTAGCAATTTAGTAATTATTCCACAATCAAATTACGGTATTTAAAGAAATGGTTAGTTGTTTATTGGAAGAAGCCTTGTGTGGTTGTCCCATAGTGCATTCTGGTATTCTCATAGTGTATTGTGGTTGTCCCATGGTGTATTGTGGTTGTCTCATGGTGCATTGTGGTTGTCCCATGGTGTATAGTGGTAGTCCCATAGTGTATTATGATAGGCCCATGGTGTATTGTGTTTGTCCCATGGTGTATTGTGCTTGTCTTTTGGTGAATTCTGGTAGGCCATGGTGTATTCGAGTAGGCCCATGGTGTATTGTGGTTGTCCCATGGTGTATTCTTGTAGTCCCATGTTGTATTATGGTTGTCTCA